TTTTATCGAATTTAATCGATTAATGTCATCTCGCAAAGTGTTGTAAAATAATGTACATGTATTGTATGTGAATTATTTGTAGTGAGCTATCGATACTAACACAAGGATTGTAAAAGCAAACATAAATTTAATTTCAAAATTTTAATATTCAAAATTAAAACATCGCCCAAACTACATCTGTTTTAGAAATCTATAACATATTCACAGGAAGAATAATTTGATTCGATAATGACAGCGCGCTGAAAATGGGTCACGTGTAAACAAGATTTATAAGTCTAGAATTTTCTGTTTTATCCAACATGTTTGTTTTCATTTATGTACTGGGTGTACATTTTATCGTTCGCCGAAGATTAGGGCCCTGTCTCCCAGGAAGACGAGGGCTCGCCTGCCCAGCGATGCGCCGACTCCACTCCCATCCTGACACGCGAAAACTATCGTCGCGCTTAACATTCTTCAAAGAAGAGGTTTTTGGAAACAAAACAACCGCTTTCTGACAACAGAGGGGGTGTGGAAAAAAATATGGGGCGCATTTAAGGATATTATTTACGACGCTTTGTCAAAGTTTGTTCCGTTCAAAATTCTAAAAAATAATCCGGATCCAGAATACTACAATGCAACAATTAAACGAATGAACAGGATAACGAGAAAAGCATTTAAGAACAGAAAACGCAGTAGCGATCATATGAATAATTTTCGAAGCCGTTCAAAACAACGAGCAAGAAAGAAAATTGCCCAGGAGCAATTTTAAAGTAGTTAGAACTAGTAGTAAGAAAGAGAAGTAATTGGACAGGATTTTATAAATATGTTCGTAGAAGGAAAAGAAATAAAGAGGATATTCCAGTTGTTTGTGAAAATGTAAAAACGCTTATTACTTACAATCGGGCAAAAGATAATGCAAGTATTTCAATTCGGCTTTCAAAAGCAATGCGAACCATCCTCTTATTCCAGGATCTTCGGAAACGAATCAGTTTAATATTGAAATAAACGTTCTACGGAATAAAGTAAAATCTATGAAAATTGGTAGCGATACCCGACGACATTTCTATGGATATAATTAAACTAGGAGATGCAATTTTACCTTACATAATTAGAATATTTCACGTGTCCATGAACAATTCAAAAAGTACCTGAAGATTGGAAATTTGCTTTTGTCGTACCAACTTTTGAAAGTGGTGACAAAACTTCGAGGTACCTAAGGCCTCCAATTTTTTTCTTCTTCAGAATGAAATAGAAACATGTGAATTGTTTTAAAATGAGCGCACATGTTTTGTCAATACGTCACAGAGATGGCAACACTGTACGACGGTTGGAATTGTAGAGCCAGCGGCAAGAATGAGAACTGTCTTACATATTTAAAATGGCGACGTTTACCTCACGTGAACAGCGTGCAAACATTCGTTTTCTGAATTTGCGTGGTGTGTCACCAACTGAAATTCATCGACAATTGAAGGAGACATGAGGTGATGGAGTTATGGATGTGTCGAAAGTGTATTCGTGGGTGCGACAGTTTAATGAAGGCAGAACATTGTGTGCCAACAAACCGAAACAACCTCAGGCTCGCACAAGTTGATCCGACGAAATGATCGAGAAAGTGGAGAGAATTGTTTTGGGGGATCGCCGAATGACTGTTCAACAGATCGCCTCCAGTGTTACCATTTCCGCAAACTTACGGAGCATCTAGTTGCAAATTATATTAAGCAAGAATGCTTAATTAAAAACATAGCTCTGTGATGGCCAATATGGGTTGAGGAGTGATTACTCATGCGAAAGGTATAAAGGTAGGTAGTCACGGTTTTACGGAATCTAGCAGATGAAATTGACGCGGGCAGGAGAGTAGACGCGGTAGTTATAGATTTTGCGTTCGAAGTCTTTCTACACAATTGGCTTGTACAGAAATTAATGAATTCAGGCACCGATCCCAGAGTGGTGCAGTAGATTAGCGAGTTTCTGCGAGACAGAAAACCATAATTGGGCAAGAGTTATCTTCCGGGGCAAGCGTTACGTCAGGAATACCGCAGGGGAGTATCATTGGACTTCTATTTCTAGCATTCGTCAATGACCTGCCAGAGCTTTTAATCTCAAATGTTCAGCTATTTGCATAATATATCGTAGTATACATTCGAAAAAAGATTAAATGCTGCAACGGGATTTTGATGCGTTATATTACGGGCATCAAATTATGGAATGACCATAAATAGCTCTAAAAGCAAATCCATCACTTTTGTCAGGGTCATAATTACAGAAAAACATATTACCGTTTAAATAACGAAAATATTCCCAGTTTCCTTGTGCAAGTACCTAGGAGCCCAGTTAGAGATAAAATTAAGCTGGAAAAGTCACGTAGATTTTGTTGTAGGGAAATCCTGGAGATCTCTTCACTTTTTCATATGCATCTTAAAGAGTACGGCAAACGCGAAGAAAACCACTTATTTATGACTTGTTCGTCCGATAATGGAATATGGAACATTTTGTTGGGAACCGCCCAAAATTATGCAGTGTAAAAATATGGAAAGGATTAAAAGTAGGGCAGTTAAATTTACTTCCAATGACAAGCAAATGACAGAGTGGGATTCACTCGAAAACAGGCGTTTAGTACAAGACTGCGCTTTGTGTAGAGCTAATAGTGGTCATCCAGCTTGGAAAGAAATTGATCGATGACTAAGTATTCCCACATAAATGTTTAGAGGTCATAGGCACAAAATAAATTTAAGACTACAAGAGCAGATGTTGAGAAATATTTTTTCACAAATCGATCACGGAATGAAATAGATTGCCTGCAAAAACATTTGAACCCATTCCTCGAAGGGTTCAACAGTTAGGGAAATTAATTTAGGATATTACTCAAGTAAATAAGAGGCTTAACTAGGAATAGTAGGTTATATAGCGATTCATAAGTGTTATATTGTGAACTGAATTGTCGTGGAGAGCAGAGTAGAGAAATAACGAAGGAAGTGATTCAAGGCTCATAGTTGGTTGGTTGTTGAATGATTCTGGGCGCGTCAACTACCAAGGTCATTTGTCCCGTAAGTGTACAGCATGTTTGCTCTGGAGGTGGCGGTCTTCCCCCTTTAGATGGCGAAATCCGGCTCCGATCTATCGTGGGCTAGGGTTTTTCCCAACTAGGTGTCTCCTACCAGAGGGAGACCGCCCCAACGATCTTCCGGCATTTGTGGTAGTGTAGTGCATGCTAGTGTGTGTGTGTAATGATATGACAAGGAAGAGGAAGGACAGATAGCGCGCGGTCTGTGGCCGTTTTGTTAGGGTACAGCTGCGGCATTCGCTTGGTGTTGATCGGAGAAAATAACGGAAAACTACCAATCAGAGCAGCCGGCCACTAGTATTCTCCTCCAGCTGACTAAATGCGACCTAACAAGCTAGTGTCGAAAATCTTGTCACTGTCGGGACTCGAACCTAGGACCTCCTGGTCAGAGGCACTAGAGATCTCCCTGTTTAAGAATCATAGTAGTGAGACGGTGTCAGTGCACTATGGTCTTAATTCATTTCACAAACATTCAGTGTGGAATTAGATTATAGAAGTTTATTTTTCCTAATGTAAGTGTTTTATGAATCAAGTTTTTATATTATATTACTATTATATTATAATGTTACAAGTATTATTATATACTTTTTATGTTATAAAACATTTATGTAATTAGCTGCCACCTGATTATACTCAATTGTAGTTTAAATAAATTTATCTTTACGACACTGAAAGTGAGATGCATTCTTGGCACAAGAACAAATTCTCATTTTTTTCTCCAATGAAGCGTGATTTCATCCATGTGGATATGCCATGTCATATGTCAAAATAACCGCTATTGGAGTGGAGAAAACACTCGCCTACTTCACGAAGAACCATTTCATGACAAAGATAGGAATGCATGGAGTTACACAAGAATTATAGGGCAAATTTTTTCAACACCATTACCGCTAACGCTCACATAAATCCGATATTGACATTATTCTTCATGTTTACATTCATCAGATATTGACACCACAAAAGAGGCTTCATAACTGTTCACACCGCCATTCGATCCACAAACTTTTTAAATACTATTTAGTGTCAACAGAATAATTAGTCATGGATTATGGCTTCCAAGATCACCTGATCTGACCACTTGTGACTTTTTCCTTTGGGGGTCCTTGAAAGATCAGGTGTATGCTATAAATTTGCATTTGGAGGAAGAGCTCCCACAGTCTATTGAAGAGAAAATCACAGCAACTACTTGAGACTTACTTCAAAGGGTAAATCAGAATACGTTCCGGAGGTGGTACGAATACACTCGAGCCTAAGGACACCACTTTTGGCATCTTCTTTAAAGGAATGTTAAGTGCAGAGATGGTTGCTGTATGTTAGCACGGGAGGTGTCAGTGCTTTGCTGGGCCTGTGAGTCCTCGACTGCCGGGGCGACGCAGCTGTAATCTGTTTCTTGTAACAATTAGTGCTGCAGTGTTGAAGCAGACAAAACCACCGGAGAAACGCTGCACCATAACAAAAAATTAACTGTCTATAATGAACAGAAATTATGAAACATAACATTTGACAGATGATTACAAATATAACCTATTTTAATAAATACGTGTTCATTTTGTTATGCTATTTGTGGAAAAACAAATTCTCGGTAAATATTGGAACATTTCTGCTCGTATCAATTGGAGTAAAAAAATGGGACACATTCACAGTTCATTTTTGGTGTCGAAGTTGAAGGAGTTGATCTGAAAGTTTTTTTCATTGCCTCTCCTACACAATTTATTCAGTGGTGTTCGTCCCTTTGTTCAGCTACCCTTTCCTCGACAGACTAATGCCTTCGAGTACAAGGAGTAGCAAATAATTTTTAAGAAACTTCAACCATTAAAAATAAAATGCAAGCTTGATGTGTCAGTAGTAGTGTTGTGTTCATGAAAGAACATGACTACAAGGAGAGATTTGACTATAGGGTCAAGGTAGGTGTGCTTGTAGGTTAGAAAGTACGATTGGGCATGATCTCCTATATCAAATATAAAGTAATTTCACCAACAATCAAAAACACATTTATTCACATTTCATGAAATACTCAACATACATACTTGTGCTACACATATCATAAAATATATATTTTCTTTCACACATATCAAACTATTTCAAAATTAACAAAAATAGGTGGATAATACTGAACACATAAAGAATCAGAGGTGCAGATATTGTGGGAGGTAAAATGACCCAATGCACCTAAAAGCTGTGATAATTAATGAACTCTGGTTCATTGGAGGAGCGGAAGAAACTGGAAGTTTGGCGATCTACGAAGAGTCAATACTTCATTGATTTAGGAATCTGGGTCGGCTTTACGTCTCACCAAAAGACGTACTCCTGCCATCCAGGAACTGCACAAACCCACATGATCCACCATCAGGCCAGCCTGAATGTTGCAAGCAGCTGCTGTGTCACCGTTCTGTAATGCTGTTGAAACATTAAATGCATTAACAACAAACAACAAAAATTGATAAAATAACTTTACAATCTTATTTAGTCTTATATAGAGTGTAACAAACTTCAAAGGAAAAACTTTGGGAATTGATTCTTCATACAGAAAGAAAGTTTATTACAATATAGGCACAAGAATGCTTATCATGTTCATCACATGGTCTACAACTGACTAAATAATGAATTTCCTGCAAGAGCTTTGTCTCACAGTAAAATTTTAAACAAGTTGTTCTGTTTTATTTTTAAAACAATCACTTAAAAATTTAATGACTACAATTGATGTTCAAAGATTCATATACATATATACATTATGCTTGTAATAAAATTAATGTGGATTCAATATGATCCTTGTTCTATCTAGTGTTTGTACTACTACATACAAAACTGCATATAATCACCCAAAATATACTTGTATTTGTAAACGTACATTTTTATTGTGCACTAGGATTATATTTAAGATTTTTAGAATTTATTTATAACAGGGCAGTAATTTCACTTGCATGTTGGAACTGGTGCCACATGCACACTTGGGTAATCACATATTTGGATACTCAATATTTCTGAGCCACAGGGATTAAATATCCCAATTAACACAATTGGAATCGTATTATTCACTCATTGTCTCTTCTCACTATCTAATAAAAATATATCACACTAAGGAAAATTGTCTGCTTGAAATTTTTATGTTAGTGTGATTATGCGTGGACCCACACAAGATAAATTAACGAAATGAAGATGATAGTCTGTATTACTGTCTTACAAATTTGAAAATTATTTATTTCTCTGAAAATGCGTTAATAAAGTCAACTTTTACTTCAACTTTTAATACTGTTAAACACAACTTTGATTAATGATAATGCATGTCTATATCACTGGATCATTGTAATGTGAGACAATGGTGACAACTGTTAATAGCATAATACTGTTGTGAATAAAACTGACAGTGACCTAAATATCTCTTAGCACTTGCAAATGATTTTCTGCAATCATCAGACGAAGTTGAACCTGATACGATTTCTTTATCTATTTTCTGTGATTTTTTATTCAACTGCAGAAAGGTTTGTGAGATATAACCAACTGCATTGATATCATTCATCCCATTCCTTGCATGCATTTTGGCAGAGAGTCGCACAACAACAAGATATTTTGGATGGAGTTCAGCACAAATTGGGATGATGAGATGCCTGTATTCAGGCAGATCTCTGAAAATTTTCATCAAATGCCAACAGAGTGATTGAACTAGTAATTATGATAACTTTATAATGACTACATTTTCCAAACACATATTGTAAAGACTTTCCCCCTCTTCCCTCTGTATGAAGAATTCCTTCCAGAAAGTTTGCAATTGAGTTTTGTTACACCTGTATGTAAAGTCATATTATTAATTCGACAATACAGTTTAGAATTCTATAATCCTTGTTAATTCCTTGCAATTTTTAAACAACCACCTCGACGCTTTTACTTAGATTATATATATATACATATATATATATATATATATATATATAATCCATGCCAATATATAATGTATATATGTGTGTGTGAGTAGACACACACATAATATACACATATACAAGTATAAAATAAAACAATGATTTTTCACTCACAAGCTCATGCAGGAAAACAGGAATCGTTTATAAACAATTAGTGGAACCCGACAGATGATGTTCTGCCCTTCATCTCCCATTCTCTCTCTTTGTCTCCCTCACTAACCTCAGTAAAAATGTAATAGAATGTTCAAAATGATCTGTAGATTACAGTGTGGAAAATGTTCCGTTGAGGCCGTTGGCCTCAAAATTTTAGTGTTTAACACACTACGACACTTCGATTAGGAGTTGTTTAACAGTTCAGATTCAAAAAATCCTGCTGAGTGTATTCTGGGTTGCATTTGACATGAATATTTAACTTTTTTTCCCAACATAATATTGTTATAGAGATAGAAATCAATAACAAAAATACCATGTATAATTGAGCACAGTTACACACAATTTTTAGAATAGACTTAATATGTTCAAAAGAATGGACTGTGATAATAAAATAGAGAAAATTATAATGTTACTTTCACACCCAATTACATAGAATATATCTTGTGGGTCAAACAAATGTTCAACTTTTTTGGTAAAATAATATTGTTAATGTATTTTGAAAGTCACAAATTTTATCTCTGAATGAACATTAGCAAATTTCAGTGGGCAGTGTTTCAGTATTTTCCCGCCTTTATTGTACATTAAAATATCTGCTTGTCAATAATCAAGTTATTGTTATTAATGGCCTCTCTTAATAAGCATATTAATCTTTTAGAAGTATTTACACATTGATCAGATGTTTCAATCCTATCATTGTGATCTTAATGTTTTGTCATTAAGTAGTAAGTAATAATCAATCTGAATTCATACTCTAATGTAATAGTGTATGATGATAAATATCTTAATTTAATTTTATTGAACATATATGATCAAAGTACAACAATGTCAATTGCTTCCAAATTTTTTATGATTTGACTTAAACACAATGTAATAAACATTGTTATAAAACAGGTGTGTTTTAATTCTAATGATTAACAAAAGAATGCAACAAAAATATTCCGACTTGTAAACTATTACATTTATCTCATTTCATTTATTTACTGAATTAATTTTCAGAATAAAATAAAGGATGGGTTGTAATATAATAAAGAACAAGTTTTATTGGCATGGATTATTAATAGTAGTGAAATTTCTATATTGATCAAATTATATTGAAATTTTCTTTTGATGAAAATTGTAGTCCATTAAAACTTTATAAATAATAGTGTAGTTCATTTAACTCCAGTTACAGCAAACCTCGACAAATTAACATATGAATGGGTGAAAATCAGAATGGTATAAGTGACATATTATAAATTCTGAGGAAAACATGTTTATTTTGGACTATATTTCAAGGGCAACATGGTTTTAATGGAAAATCCAAATGCCATGGTTTTTATAATGAAACAGAGTATTATAATATTGCCTTAAATAAACTGATTTCTCAGAATTTATGAAATGGCACTTAAACCGTTCTGGTTTTCACACATTCATATTTTGTTCACTATATCAGGTATTCACTTTAAATGATAATCCCAACAGATAATACACATTTTCAATTATGAATGATTTTATTATTTCAGAGGGACAGTGAAATATCCAAATATCGCGAATTCAAAATTCCAGTATCTTTACGCTTTCTTCTTTATTTTACATTTTCCAGTTTACAAGACAGTCTTAAACTCTTCAATATCTTTTGAATTGTTGGAATACTCTTTGTTTCTGCATATTTGCTCTATCACATTTGTTTTCTTCTGTTCTAGATGATCCTTCAACCTGATTTATGATGTCATAGCTAGATCGGTTATCTCTATTTTTGTGATCTGCTGCCATTATTCAGAAGCAAGTTCATTCCCTCAGTGGCAGAGTTCCATCAATCCCCTTCATCAAATTATACAAAAATAACTCTCAGGCACTAGCATACCTGTAGAGTTAAGTGTTAACAGAACTGAGACCGAACATTTTTTTCCTGCAAGTTGTATTTTCTACGTTCAGTACATTCACAGTTAAGCACTAAAACTAACTGTAAAGCATTTAATTATAAACAATACTTACCACTTGCTAATTGCACAAGTCGCCCATAAATGTCGGGATTCAATTTATCCTCTTTACACATTTTCCGCAACACGTCAAGTCTCTTTTTTATATCATCTTTTTGTCTCTAAAGAACACACAACATTAATATAACAAAGTTAACAAGAAAATAAGCATATCATTTGATTATTTACTTCCATATTTTCAACAATGAATTATATTTGTAAAAAATTTTTATTTTATTTATAAGTCTGCGTTTTAAGCAATGAATTCTTTCATAGAAGAATCTTGTTAAAATTCAACTTCAATCCAAAACTGCTTATAAAAAGTAATTTGTTTACCAAAACCATATGGATGAACCAGCCTTTAATACACACGTACGCTTCCACAGCTCGATTTCAGAAATTCTTGGCTATCCGGGAGACGCCACGTTGTTGGCTGAGAGGCTGACATTTCACCTCACATGTCGCAGGCTTCCTCTCAGTCACTGTCCTGAGAAAGCCTGCAACATGTCAGGCGAAACGTCGGCATCTCAGCCAACAATGCGGCATTTCCCAGATTGCCAAGAATTTACAGCCTTTAATAGATCAAAATGAATTTAAAAAAAAATCAACATAAAAATACTGTTCCACAAATAACATTCATGAATTTTGTTTTCTTCTCTGCTAACAGAAGAATGAACACTATCTAAACAGTGCACTTGCCAACAATGTTATCAACATATTGCTGAAACGATGAACCGTTTTAAACTGATGAAATTGCAGTTAATAATATAATTTACCTTTTACAAAATTACTTGTAACTACTAATTATTTCTACCGTACACCTATTTCTCCAGTGAACAAAACATAATTATAATTTTACTGAAAAGTTGCGGTCAATGACTCTACTGTCAAATATCTTGAACATACCTTGTCATCTGGAGGAAGTGTATCAACAATTTGACATAAAATATCAACACCCTTTTGAAGGGCTTCTTCGCTGTCACATGAATCTGAATTCAGAAGGGAGGCAGGGACACCAGTAAGAACTGGTGGTGGTGCTCCAGAAGGTGCATTGCAGGGTGGACCGATGGGAGGTCGTAAAGGAGGTTGTTCACTCACACCACTGGGCGATTGTGTGGAAGTACATCCTCCTGTGCTAGGGCTCATAGGAAATGCCACGCGTTTATTCAGGAGTGTTCCACGTTTTCCCGGTTGGGCGGTAATTTTTGTCGCATCGTAAGAAAAGGTAGGTGGATCGTTCCATCCCGGATCGAACGTGGCTATCATCAAAAAACACGATTAATGTAAACCTAACCTCAATTATTTTCCAACAAAAATATACAATTCTTTAAAGCTATATTAGTTGCAACTTCAAAATTCTTACCTTTTGGTTTATTCTGATCTGAAGTGTCTAAATTCATATTTAATAAAAGACGTGCACTGACAAACTCACATCTCCGTCAACAAGGCAAATCAGTCAGCATCAGTCTGGTCCTGTTCAGGGCCGGTTCACTCAATGTTAAAAGGCGGGGGACTAAG